GAGATTGATGAAGAAGGCAAGGTAAGGAAGTGGAAGGAGAAAGAAAGGGTGCTGCTGGGTTCGAAAGAATCCATGAGTAAAAAATTTTTAAATAAAATTTTGTTTATTTGGTGAGTTTTATTGTTTGATGATGATGATAATGAACCTAGTAAGAGTAGAAATTGGTTGAAATGAATAGATTAGTTGAGATGTTACAAATTGGCTGAGATCTTAGAGTTTGCAGGGGGTTTGCAGAAGTTGAAGAAAGGGTAGATGAAAGAGAGGAAGGAAAAAAAAAATTTTTTTAGGTGGGATGAGTTAAAATGGCCGTGTCATTTATTTTTGCCAACTTGGCAATTTTTTGTGTGACATGTAATGTTTCTTTTGTATTTAGCCATCACTTAACGTGAAAAATTAATGGAAGGACTAAATCGAGATAAAAATGATAAATAGTAAGGATCAAATCAAGGATTTTTTAAGTTTAGGGATGAAATCGATGGTCCGTACAACAGTTCAAGGACCAAAAGAGAGTTTTAACCTAGTTTTTTTTTTTTTTCCAATCTACGAGATGATATGTGGAGTATAAGTGTTATTATTATTTTTTTATTAATTTATTGGTATTTGAAAGTCACATGAATTTTGTTTAAAGAGAATTAAATTTTTTTAATTTGAATTAATAGATTATTATTTTTTATTTTAATTGCATAATGAGAGGTAATTAATTTTTATTTCTTATCCCATCCCACCGTATGTTATGTTACTCGAATTCAAGATTTCTTATTTTCAAAAAAAAAAAAATGATTACTGAGTTATTTAAATTGTTGACAATTAACAGATTATTAATAGAGTATAAATATTATGAATAATAATAAATTAAATTAAAATTTAAAACTAATGACCGTACATGAAGTAAGTTATTTAAAATATTAAAAAATAAATTATATATTATTTAATAATTAATTCTTTTTAATTTTTAATACTCAATATTATATATATTAATTAATTTAAAAATATGATATAAATCATATTATTAATTTTAAATTTTTGTTCTTCCTCTTATTACTCAAGTATTATAAGCATACCGCCAACCCCAATGAGGTGGCTCAATGGTTAAGAACTTGAGATTTCAAAATAGAGATTTCAAGTTCGAGTCTTGAGTCGGGTGAGAAGGGTTTCGGAAATAAGGAAGGGCTATTCCTTTTTGTATAATCTATAATCAGATGTATCAAAAAAAAAAAAAAAAGCATATCACCTAATAGCGATTAAAACAATAAAGAATGGGAATACAATTCAAAAAAAAAAAAAATTTTTAAGAACACTCGCTAATTATGAAAGTAGAAGTCATAGCCTTGAACTTATAAAATCTCAACCTCTGTTATGTGTTTGTTTTGAAGTTTCATAAATAGTTATTAGTTGTTGATTATAAGAAAATGGTTTAAATATTTTTAATTTTAAATAATAATTATTATTAATTGTCAAACTTTAATAATTAATTATCAATTACTATATATTTAAATAGGTAATCCATACACTTCCCAAATCTTTTATCAGTTAACTTAAAAAGACCTCCCTTTTTATGCGAACATCGTAATTTATTCCATTAGCTCTAAATGACCAAGAAAGATGACACTC